TTGTTGTTGTAAGCCCTAAAAAAAGCTACTACCAATGTTGAAAATAAATTACCTCCACCCTGAGCCTGGTGGTTGCAAATTTCACCTCTTTCCCTTGCTTCTCAAATTAACTAAATGGTTCCCACTTTCTTAATCTAAATGGGGTTGTGAAGGTGGGGGGAGCCCACTTGGGTTTACTTCTGATGTAGCAATTTTAATCCTTACAATCCTATCTGTTAAAGAAAATTTCCAACAGATGTATGAATTAGGCGAAAGGATGTAAACACTAGCAGGCTGAAGGAAAATACAAAACAATTAAGGGGTAATAATGAAGAAGGAATCTTAATCTGATTTGTATTTTAGAAATGTCAGTGTAGAAAACACTGAGTCACTAGGTCATTGTTATTTCACGTACCAGTTTGGCTGTAAGTTTTGCATTTGGCAGTCAATGGCAATATTGTCATTGCCCTTACGTAATTGGCAACTGGTTGCACTGGTGTTGTTGCATCATAAATTTCTGTATCTACAATATTCCAGTATTGTGTGATACTCTTAATCGCATATGCAACATGTTTACTTTTACAAGTGATTTTTGCGGGTGTTTTGTGATAGAAAGTTGACTGGGTATTGAAATTCACCAGGTAACTCCCACCGAGCTAGAGCTCTGAAATTTGACACACATGTACCCTAAAAATTGCTTTAAAATTTCTGGAAGTGTTATATTACTTCCTAAAAAAAGGCTTTCCGGATTATTTAGCTCCATAAAACTGAATTTGATGCAGATGTAGCTCAAAGTTATTAGAAAAGCCTGAAAATGTGTCACTTTTTTTTTTTTACTGCTAACCTTAAAAAAATAATAATTGAGGCCTGAAATTTAACTCATAAGAGAGGCTGCTGGCATTCCACTAACAGGGAGTCCCGCTGCTTATTTACATACTTGAATTAAGCTTTATTTATTGTGTGTGTGTGTGTGTGTGTGTGTGTGTGTGTGTGTGTAATACTTGCAGGAGCACATCCTTCTTCCTATCCTGAGGTAACTTGTGGGGAGAATTGTGTGATCAACACATTTCCCAAGCAGTAGAGTGCAGGGAGGTTAAAAAACAACAGCCCTCCCCACCTTGTGCTGAGCTGTCAATGCAAATGGGAGTTGGAGGGCATCACACTGCCTACCCCTGTGCTATACTGGTGTTCACTAATAGATGTACAGTACAGTGAAAATCTCAGTAGTATAGATTTGCCAGAGGAGGCATTGGAGTGGCCTAGGGTGGAGGAAGTTTGCTACTCTCCTGTTTCTGAACGTTCCAGTTCTGTTCTAAATTATATGGCTAAATACATACTTAGGTTACTTTTTGTATGGGAAAAAAATATTCCTTTATAAGGGAAACAGTACAGTAGTACTTGTATTTGCGGGAGTATTTCTCCCCCCCCCCCATGACACTGTCCAAATAGTAGAATTGTAATCCAACACTTAGAATTGTTTTTCATCACCAGATAATTAAAATTAAGCCGTGGGCTGTGACACATTTAACATAACGATCTGTTTCGTTTTAAATAAACATTTTTGAAAACAAGACTAATAGCTCTTTCTTCAAAGTAGTTAAAATGTTTATATGGATGTTTGAGGAAATAATTCGGGTAGAAGCATCATTCCCAGTGCTGTAATTCCCTCATGTTCATCTAGATTAAAGGTAAAGGGACCCCTGACCATTAGGTCCAGTCATGGCCGACTCTGGGGTTGTGGCGCTCATCTCGCTTTATTGGCTTCTGGGTCATGTGGCCAGCATGACTAAGCCGCTTCTGGCGAACCAGAGCAGTGCACGAAAATGCCGTTTACCTTCCCGCAGGAGCGGTACCTATTTATCTACTTGCACTTTGACATGCTTTCGAATTGCTAGGTGGGCAGGAGCAGGGACCGAGCAATGGGAGCTCACCCCGTCGCAGGGATTCAAACCACCAACCTTCTGATCGGCAAGTCCTAGGCTCAGTGGTTTAACCCACAGCGCCATATACGTATAGCTCTGGTGGCAGCGACCCAGTAGTGCTTTATTCAGCTAAGCAGAATCAACACTCAAATGTGGACAAGCCCTAATAAATGGAGTCCAGGGCAGGGCTTCTGATCGGCAAGTCCTAGGCTCTGTGGTTTAACCCACAGGGTCTTCTAAAATAGTATGCCATGGTGGGATGAAAAGGTTTGGTGGAAGGGGAGGGCTGATGACAAGTCGGATGAGAAGGGGAAATGCCCTTCTGAGTAGGTGTGACAGTCAGCCAAATAAATTTGCTGCGCCGCATGGCATGCAAATGCAGGAGGCGTAGTATTGCTTGAATATCCATGGGGGGTTTCTTGTGCTGGGTTCTGCTTTGCTGGTGGACCCCCAAATATTGGGTTACTTGTGCAGCTGGATTGCTCCTGGAGGTAGAAGAGAGGCTGGCAAAATGCAGAGCTAGACTATTAGTTCTGATGACACATTTCTTGGTCCTAATAATGCAATGCTCTTTCAGCTTATGTCCTTAGAAGTGGGGGGGGGGGACTTTGGCAGCTTATTCGATTGAGAGAGCTAGTTCAGGGTTGCCATAAACCAGGACACCCAGGATTTTCTTTAGGAAAACCCCAAAGTTGTTGAGCTATTTATTATTTATTTATTTATTTATTTACAGAACAGAAATCGCGCGGCGGCGGGAGGCCCCATTAGCTAAAGTGGTGTTTCAGGTTAAGAACAGTTTCAGGTTAAGAATGGACCTCCGGAACGAATTAAGTTCGTAACTAGAGGTGCCACAGTATTTACAAAAACACAACTTTTCAAATTGACAAAACACCGCCTTTTGGAAATTCCCCCCGGATGTCAATTCAGCCTTTGAAATCCCAGTAATGTGCAGTAAAATCCTAAAATAATTGGGTGCTCAGTTTTTATTTACATCCTGAACAGGGCATATTTTTGACGGTTAATTTTTCTTTATTAGATATTTATAACCTTATTCCTATACTTCTTATGTGTGGAATACCAAGGAAAGCATATTCCTTCAAACTTGTAGCTCTCATTATTAAATGCTGCTTTGACTACCTATCCTGAAATGTCTGAAGACCGACGTAAACCCTGATGTGCAACAGTCCTGTAAAGCATGTATTTCTTGTTTTTCAGGAAAAGTGCTTCAGGCAAAAAGGTTGCTTTTTTAAAAAAACAAAAACTTGCTGCTCTGAAAGATTGCAAGCATAATACAGCTTGTAGACATTTTACATGCATGAGTAAACTTTTTGCTGGAGTTGTGTATGCCTTGTGCTATTTGTGGACTCCAGGGGAACCTGAGAATGTTTTTATTGTTTGCTTATTTCTTTGTTTGTTTAATTGGCATTATCAAAAATGAAACTTTTGAATGGATGTCTTGTTTTCAGAATGCTAAATGCGTGGAAAGAAAGCAGAATATTTTTTGCTACGCCATTAATAAGCACTTTTCTCTGTAAAACCCATGACATCTCTCCCCTCCTTCTTATGCTTTCTTCTGTAATACACATATTCACAGAATTTCCATCATGACAGAGCTGTGTTAAGATTATCCCATCGATACTGAAACATGTATGTGTTTATGGGCACCTGTTTGTAAGTGCTAACTTGATGGTTAATGTGATCTTTTTGGACACAGGCAGACTTCCACAAAAGTTCTCACCAGAGGCAAGTGTCCTTGACTCTGTTGAGAAGAACATAGGTAAGGTAAAGGTAAAGGGACCCCTGACCATTAGGTCCAGTCGCGGACGACTCTGGGGTTGCGGTGCTCATCTCGCTTTACTGGCCGAGGGAGCCGGCGTACAGCTTCCGGGTCATGTGGCCAGCATGACTAAGCTGCTTCTTGCGAACCAGAGCAGCGCACGGAAACGCCGTTTACCTTCCCGGCTGAGTGGTACCTATTTATCTGCTTGCACTTTGACGTGCTTTTCAAACTGCTAGGTGGGCAGGAGCAGGGACCGAGCAACGGGAGCTCACCCCATCGCGGGGATTCGAACCGCCAAAGAACATAGCAGCACACAAAAGACCACCTCCTCCCTCAAGGCCACAGCGGATTGAAGGGACAAAAGACTACCTCTTCCTCCAAACCTTCCGGCATGTGTCAGAGAAAATTGGGGAGAAGAGGAGGTTGGTGGTAACAAATAATAACTGGCTAGCAATCCAAGCCAACATCTCTGGGCACCCAGACAATACATTCCCCCCCTCCCAAGCAATGAGAGCCTGTATGTTTGGGAGCAGAACTCTGCTTGTGGTTGTTGGGATCAAACTCAAAATTTCTGAAGTGTTTGTTTGTTTTAGGTTCCAATAGTATTTTTCATGTTTTAAGTTCAGCAAACTTTTCTACACTTGCAAATTCTCTTTCCTTTTTTTGTGTGGTTTGCTGTGGGGTGAAACCCCTTTTCTCTCTCTTATTGAAGTGAGGCCAAAATCAAACAAACCAGGTTTACATTTCTATCTTTATAATGCAACCTGTAACATACCCTGAAGCTATCAGAAAATAAGTTTGATTGAAATGAAATGTTATTCATCCATTTATATTAGAAAAATGGTTATTGCCTTCTCTGTTCATAAAGTAATATGAATCAGTGCATTAAAAACCTAAAGGTACACTTTGAAATAAGTTTTCTAAAGCTTTCTAGAAGTTTTAGGATCACGTAGGTTTGCTTTAACTTGCTTTTCAGCTAACTGTGGTATGGATGCCTTATCCTTTGGCTTATGTTGTAAATAGGACCTTGTGCCCAAAATATTGTTCAAAGCAGTTAAAAGCAGCAATGCTGTGTATTTACAGGGCTAAAGAGGTTCTAGCTTAACTGATAATAGATCTCTTTTTGGTTTTTCCTGTTGTTGTATTTATGTTTTCATTAGGTGTTTCTCAAAAGAGCAAAGAAAGTTCCAGGCTAAAAGAACAACTCGGCATAATGTTTGGTGCTTTGTGGAGCCCCCCAAGAAGCAGATCAGATTTTTATAGAGGGCAAATGTGCTTTCGTTCTAATGATGACACTTATTTTCGATTTTGTTTTCCAGTCTTGGCCTGCGTATGAAGATGTTCACGAAAAGACGCAGGCCCTTGCTGTATACCTGAAGCTACCTTGTTTTCCAGATATAGCAGAAGGCAGCTTCCTTCACCCGAACATTCTGTGCATGAAGTATTTGATGGAAGCCAACTTGCCTGGTAAGGGCATGTGGGGGAGGGATGTGTTTTGTAACACCCAATTTAATGTTCACCCTATTTTTCCCAACAAACAAAAATTATACATTATCAAGTCCTTTTAAATAGCCTTTACTGTGCTAATGTCAAAAGCACATTCTGATTTTAAATAATAATAATAATAATAATTTATACCCCACCCATCTGGCTGGGTTTCTCTCCATATGGCAAATTCGGAGTTTTTCATGGACTTCAAGTTGGTAGTAGCATGGGGACTTCTAGGGCTTTATATTTGAAACTTATGGCTGATGCTGTAAGATCTGTCAAACCAAGCCAATGGCTCAAAATTTATGAGTGAGCCAGTGTGGGACAGCGGCTTGAGCACTGAACTCGCAACTGAGAAATACAGGTTCAGATCCCTGCTCAGTGAAGAAGCACAGGACAGGGTTTCCCAAACTCGGGTCTCCAGCTGCTTTTGGACTACAACTCCCATTATCCCTAGCTAGCAGGACCAGTGGTCAGGGATGATCGGAATTGTAGTCCAAAAAACAACTGGGGACTCAAGTTTGGGAAACGCTGGCATAATAGATAACTTGGGAAAGCGACTATCTATTCGCCGAGCCTACCTCACCTGGTTGTTGTGAGCTCAGTAGACAGAATGTATGCCTCACGGGTGTTGAGTTAAGCCTCACGGGTGTTGAGTTAAGCTTTCAATTAACTTCTTCCCTGGTACTGTACTAAAATAATTAAAACAGTCACACTCTAAACCTTTTTGGTATATGAAATCCTGTTTCTGAATCCACTGAATATGAAAATAAAACTTGACTAAATATAAGGACGGATCATGTCTGCAAACATGTTACTTTCTTCACTGTCTCTTCTATGTAGCTTCATATAGACACACATTCATCTTCTCTTTATTACAAGAAGGAGTTCAAATACTTAATCACTAGGGCAGCAGCAGAATTAAAGGAAAGTACTAAATGTTTTCCAGACACATCTGCTCGAGTTTTAATAACACAGCATGAAAAAGAAGGTTGTGATCCTCTTTGCTGCTGAGTCATGTTAACAGAACAATTAAAGTCACTTACAGCTGACCATTTGATTCTACCCAATCACTCTTTGGAGAAAATGAGATTCATATGTAAGAAAAATAAGGTGTTCCTCCGTATTGCTGGGTTCCTAATAGTACACACCTATGTCGGTTCACTAAGAAATAAGTCTCATTATGTTCAACGTGACTTCCTCTCAGGTAATCGTGTATAGGATTGTACATTTCATGTCTTCCCTTTAGATTTTATTATTTTCCCTTTCACTATGTATTTTCAATGAAACAGGATTTTTTAGGTGCTTAAGTAAACAGGACTATTGTTCTTAAATCACTTTGAGATATATCGCAGAGTTTCCGCTACAATATATGTAATGTTTCCTGTTGAAACATTTTATTTTGGTCATAATTTTTGGAAGCTGTGGTTTGGATCAGAGTTGGATCATTGTCAACTTTTAGTATCCAAACCAGACTTTCTCAACTTTGGGTCTGTAGATGTTGTTAGTCTATAATTCCAATCATTCCTAGCTAGCATGGCCAGTGGTCAGAGATTTTAGTTCAAGAACATCTGGGAAAGACTGGTTTGGATACCAAAAGTTGACAGTGCTCTTAGAATTCCAGATGTAATATTCAGTATTAATTTATTCTTAGACTCTGCATGCTGCTGCAGTAATCATATTCATACTTGCATAACCAGCTGCTAACAGGTGAGAAAGCAGCCTAGAAATAGGAATATAAATAAACTAGAATAGGAAGCAGGCTGTGGCATGACCCTTCTCTTATCCAGTGGAAATTCCTCGCTCATTTCAGCATTAATTAGGGCACAGTGCTGTTTGTCCCATTGCTGGTATTAATCATGGTTAGCTTTTAGCCAAGGATTGAACTGTTTTGTTAGTATTAGCTTTGGTTATACCATGATTGATGCTGATGAAGGAGGGAGGGAAATGACACAGCAGGGACGGAGTAGGAGCCCTGAACTTACTCAGTCTTAAAACCATGTTTAAGAGAATTGGGACTGCTGTGTTATAATGCCAGTCCTGCATGTACCTTTTGAAAATTGCAAAGCACAAAATGGATCTGATTGAGGAAGGTTATCCAATCAAAGTTAAACCCTGTAAAGTTCCATTGTCCTTAATGCAGCACAGATTAAAGCAGAAACTTAATGCTCCAACAGAAATTAATAACACTTTGCGTCCTAAATTTGGGTTGGATCACGTCTTCACGCACAGCAAAAATAAGGTTTAAGCAGTACTGCTACCACAGATCGATAGGTTGCCTTGTATTTTAACATTTCTTCTTTTAAGAAAAGGTGCATTTGTACTTCTTTTTTACGACACTTTAACTGTAGCTACAATCTTCACATTGCTGTACAGGTGTCTTCGAAGACACAAGGAACACAATTTCTTACTTTTCCAGTTTAGCAAGGATGTCATGAATCAACTGCCTCATCAGATTCCAGAGGGGTTGTCACTATACTCTGAAATACCGCCAGCATTCACCTGCCTAAATTGTTGATTTCCTTCCATAATCAGAAACAGTTCGTACACCTCACTGGTGACCCCGTTTGAAAGTAAAGCTTTCCCCCACAAACACAATTGTGTACATGTACACTTAAACGACTAAAACATGCTCAACTCCACTAGGAATAGAGCAACACTCACACGTCCATTATGAACAATTTTTTTGTACCTTTAAAGACTTGCCAGCCGTGGCAAGACCTGGTGGAGCAGTATTGCGAGCCAAATGGGGAGGGCTGGCTAGCCTTATTAGGTCTGGTTCCCCACCATTGGACTGGATAAATCTCCAAGGTTTGTTCCAACTCTAGTTCTTTGTGTTGGACTTCCATAGCATGTGAAGTTTATCCTCTTCTTAATTCAGATGATATGCACAAGTGGACGTGCAGAGTGGTAAAAAAAACTGGCGTTGGTGAAGTGGACTTCCTGACACTTTGTCCTGAGAATAAATCAGCTCAGAATGTGAAATACGATATTCTTGCCGTAGCTGTGGTAGTCGTGGTGCTGAAAATGCTGTTCTTGCTGGATGACCATTATGAATGGTAAGTGTGCGCTGCCGTTATAACAAACGTAAACTTGCCGACTTATTGCAGTCCAGGGCCACAAAAATCCTAGACTGCTATTTTTATTACCGCTAAGGACTAGGTCAGTGGTTCTCAAAGGGTGTGGTGCGGCAGGAGAGGATGGCAAGCATGGCCGGAAGATTCGAGGACAAAGAAATGCTTAAATATTTCAGTGCAGTATAGTATCAAAACATGGTTTTTTTAATTTGCAAAATATGGCTCGATATCTTTTCAAAATGAGAGTATCAAATGGTACTGAGGACAGTCCTAGGTTGTGATCCAGAATTGCCATTTGAATAGAGTGCTGGAGAATAGCATGGGCTGTTCTTCTGCCGTTCTCCAACTCTGACCAATATGAAAGATCAGAAAAGAGAAAGGCTTCTTTGCGTTGATGAGGAGATGAGAGTTCGTTTGTCTCAAATTAGACCTAATATAAATGACATTACCTGGCAAAAGCCAGCTCACACCTCTCATTGAGTTTGTATAAGGTGCATACATAAGAGGCTTGTTTATAATTATCTTTTGGGAATGATTCATCTTCTTACGTAGCTGCATCGTTTTATACTTTCTGGCTGTCCTGTGATCTTATGATAAAGTAGTTGTATTCTGTGGTGTCAATTAAGCACTGCTGGGAATTGTTTCTTTTTGTTTTCCAATGTATTTCTTATCAATGAAGAAAATGGTGTGAGATGAGTAAACTTTAATTATGGAAGTGTGGCCCAGAGAAAAAAAGTTTAAGAATCATTGGAATAAACAAATGGAACACTGAATAAGAGAAATATAGCATATTTGTGTATATTCACATAACATCTAGAATCCGTTTTGCCATTTCCCTCTTGGTCAGGCAGAATAACTGCAGCCCAGCTCTGAAAGGGTCTGTTCTTATTTGACATAGCAGTGGTTCAAATGTTACTTATCCCAGTCCAATTTGCTTTAAGCTGTTTTTGATGTCGTATTTTAAATTTTTGGAACCCTATGGCTAAGGAAGGGTAGTAAATCATCCTCATCCTTGTAATGTGGAGGCAGAAAAGGGTGTGTTTCAAGCAGCGAGGGTTGTAACACTTGTGTTGTGTTGATCACATGAGTGTCCATGTCAGTGTTGAAACCCGTCCCCCCCACCAGATGACAGTAGATTCTTGTATGAAGATGTTCCATGTAAGTAAAGCCCAATGGTGTCATGACCCTGGGGTCCGACTTCCCCTCTGGGGGATGAGGCCAAGGATTTGGAGAAATAATTGGAGGGTAAGGGTCTATATCCTGCAGAGCTAGCCACTATGGTCCCCAGTTATCCAAGAACTCCAACATAGGAGGAGGCCATTCACATGGGATGAGCAAGGTTTGAACCAGCCCTTACAATTTTAAATTTTTAACCTAAGAGATAAGGCCTTTGGATTCATTGGAGTGGCTCAGATTTTAAATATGCTTGAATAGTTTGAAAAAATGGGGACCATGTTTTCAATTTAAAAAAAAACCCTCTGAATCTGTTGGATATATTTTCAGGTTACTAGCAGACTATGCCGAAGAGAGAAACAAAAGGAAAGAAGAAGGTACCAAATACTTTAGAAGAAGCTTAGTATAAGTTTTGCATTGCCAACTATTTTTTAAGATGCTAGCGTACATGCAAGACAGTCGTGGAAGCTCTTTCAGTAGAGTATGTGAATTGAAAAGAAAGTGTAAGTCATACGAATGTATGAAAGAGCTGCCCAAATCTACATGTGAAAAAGGAGCTTTTTACATTTGCATGTGGCTTCCTAGATATTGCTAGATATTTTAGATGCAGAGGTTGCATAGCAAATGATAGAAACTGACAAAGGCTCAGTTTCCAGGAACTCCAGTGCAGATGTAAGATAGCTCATCCTTCAGTTGCTCTAAAGAGATCAGGGACCGGCTGCAGGATCACATTCTTCCTCTCCTCTGTTCCTCTCTGTCCTCATGCCTGTTGCCCTCACGTTTCCCAGATGGCTTTAGCCTTCTTTAAACCTAACTAGTTTTCTGTTAACTTGGGTAGATCCCAACTATGTAGTAACGATGTGGTCAGCAGTAGATCTAGTCCCTCAAATAAGTCTCGCAATATGGTGTATGGCAGATCATTTGGTTTGAATCCCTCCTCCCTTGGAGAACATCCAAGAAGAATTGGATATCTGTTCATACAAATATGCCCTTAAAGCTGGATATCCTAGAATGCTGAAAAATGAATGCAATACTTTTAATCGCAGCTTAACGAGAGTCAGTATAGTGTGGTGTCAGTGTTAGAAACTGAGATATGAAAGCTAAGAGCTAAATGGCACCTTAAATGGCACCTAGGCTAGGGATGCAACAGCCTAATGTCCAGGCACGTTTTTTTATAACAAGAATACAAAGCTGAAAGTGAATGAACTGCAGCTAAAAGATTATGTTCACTTTTCACACTGTCTAGTCCTTCTCCTGCCCACCCCCCTAATATTCTTAAGAGGGTCTCTTCTCCAGTCTTCGGAGAGTAGCTGGAAGCGGGGAGGCAGAAAAAGTTCCTCCTTTCCTTCCGCTCTGCAGTTTTAATCTGAAATCTTAGGCGCAGTACTGTATCCAGAGCTCAGGAACCACTCGCGCTAATGAAATTCCCTGTCTCAAAATGTGCCTAGAACAGTGGGAGTTTCGAACCCTGCGTGGTGTATGTGGAATTTGATGTGGAGCTTTCTTGGTCTTCTCTTATCTTGCGCAGAAATAACGAGGCCACGCTGATTTTAAATTCATTGAAAGAAGGATGGAATAAAAGTTAAAACTTAATTCGTTCATTTTCACTATAGGCTGTCCAGTGTTTGATATTCGGAAATGGTACCTAGTTGTAAAGAATGCTCTGGATGTGGAGCAGAAGAAATTTAACGAAGGAAGAATCAGGTGTGGTGTTCATAGACTGGCAGTCTCTGATTTGGGTTGGAGAAATTAAAAGGGCATGATAGCATTGGGCAGTACCTGAAGATACGAATTAAAATGGGTAGACCCATCTGTAATGTCTTAGGAAATCTCTCTTTGTAAATGTTTTTGGTGGGTTTTTCTTTTTACTTCTGATACCATTGCTGACATTGATTGATTGATTGATTGATTGATTGTAAAAGGAATGGGAGGAATATTTTGAGGAATGTATGGGGAAGGCTTCTGTAGAAAGTAGCCTTGGTGGAGAGATGATTAAGCTCTGGTGGGAGGGGTTTTAGCACTACACTGCTATTTCCCCTAAGTAGCTGCAGTGGTATTAATGGAAGATATTTCACTTTTGGCATTTTTGGGGTGAATGGTGAAACCAAACAGGTGATTGTATTCAACTGTTCTATAACAGGTTTAGATCATAGTTAAGGATATGGTTGTTGTGACGATAATCCACCGTGTGTTGTCTTCTCTTTCCTCCACCCCCAAATATTTATTTTTTCTTTTTCTTTTCTTTTTTTTTTGCATCTTCAGACATTTATGGAGATGTGAGAAGCCACTATTGTTTTTTGTCCATGAAACATATGCTTTCCTCAAGAAAAGACGTAAGTGATTCCCTCTTCCTTTCCTCAAACATGACTCTTCCCCCCTCCCCATAGGTTAAATTCAGTTCTTAAGAACCTGGCCACATCTGAGGAGGCATAGGGAGAAAGGGGACTGGGATTCTCAGTCTGGCAAGGAAGTAGGAACAGAACTACCATCTGCCGTTAAGTCTTACACGGCTCAAATATGTAATATTGAGCCATTTTCCCAGAAAGCATTTTGGAATATTCTTGAGGCCTTCCTGCGCTGTAAATATGGTAGATTGACAGGTGCACTCTGGGAAAAGAGAGGAACCTGACAAAGACAATGCTAGAGTTCCTTTCTGAAAGAAAGAAAGAAAGAAAGAAAGAAAGAAAGAAAGAAAGAAAAGGCCGGCAGGCCACACTCCTCTTTTTCCATGTCAGTTCTTCCCATGTGATGTGTACAGCTGTTGGAAATTATTTAAACTTTCCATTAAAGTTCCTGTCATGAGACACCCAAATTCTTCAAGAAGATGCTACGTTCTGATAATTTTTTTACTATCACCAGAATTACTAAGGTTTTTGGAGAATAACTTATATTCAGCATTTGGGTGTGCCTTGTGAAGTTTGCTTCCTTTATAAAAGTCTTCCAGCCTTTATTTCTTTCTGAAACAGCCTTTAAAATTTTTTGTGGCTCATTGTTACATTTCGCTTTGTACAGAAATGGTAGTGGACCTTCAAAGGCAGTTCCGAACACTGTCTGGTTCTGTGGAACCTGCTGAGAAGCGGAGCCCCTCAAGTTTCCAGCTAAACTGGACTGAGGAAATAGATTGTTTCCACGGGCACAGCCTGGTTGGGATTTTGCAACCAAAAGGCGACACATTAACAACTCTGAACAGAAAGTATTGGTTGTGTACGACTGCACTGTGCAAACGGAAGTAAGTGTTTGACATCCCTGTAGAAAATGTGTTCTAAATGTGTTAGCGTTTGTGAGAAGAAGACTTGTAGAATGTGTTGACTTGAATATAATAATACTAATACTAATAATTTATTATTTATACCCCGCCCATCTGTTACATTTTGCTGCCTTTCAGGTATCCTACATTTTTGCTTTTTTTATTATTATTCATCACCAGTTTGGAATAAAGATGCAGTATTATGAACAAGAACATATGGTAGAGGACATTAAAGTTTGCTTAAGTATATTAATCACAACATCCTTTAATGATAGATTTCTTGTTGAACAATATATGTTATTCTGCCAGCAGGCAGTGTGAGGTGGAAGACAAGAGAGAGAAAGAGAGAGACCTAAAAGATTTGCATACATGCTACTTTATTGCTGGAAGGAGAACAGAATTCATGCATTCAAGTAATGATTCTGGCTGCTGAAAAATTTAATGTGCTGCTTTTTGCCAGTTCTGTAGTGTTAGCGCTTTGAGTCTGTGTTGTGTCGGTGTCAAACCTTTATTTTAAATCAGATTAAAATGGGATCCTGAGTAGCCTTTCCTATGGTCAGTACCACTATCATTCTTGATTGTGGCTACATCAGATAGAGAGATTGGTTCAGGGTACAATGTAGAGTAAGCACTTACAAAAAAAACCTTATTGGGTAGTAGACCTAACCACATGAAAAGGTAGCCAGTAGCCTGTGGCTATGTAATAAACCCAGATTACCTAGTTCCTTTCTTTCTTGCATTTCTAAGTGGCCCAGGTGTTGGTCACCTCTGTAGTACGCACTTAAAACTACCAACCTGTAAAGCTTTCAACCATCTTCCATGGTTAAGAGATCAGAAGTAGATTTTAGAATTGTGAACCTCATTTTTGGAAGAAGAACCAAAACGTCTTTTTTGCTTAAAAAGATCAATTATATATACTTCTAACATCCTCTTGTAATTTTCCACATAAGTTAGAACCAAGAGAGACACATTTGGACTCTGGAAACGTTTGTCAAGAGAAACTTCCTTCTCCTAATTGACAGAAGCACGTTTTCCTTACTTAGTTCTTAGTACTGGTTTTAGTCTGGTACTGCTCTTAAACCGATGCCCAGTATATTCTAGGGGCTAGAAAGCTGGAGATATGTGTTTGTTTCATCTTTTGTATCCTGCCGTTCTATCAGCAAGAATCAAAGTGACTTCCAATGGAATAAGACAGCGTAAAATATCATCTAGGAAAGACTTGTGCAACTGAGCTTCCTTTCTCCTCTCTTCTTCCCTGCAGCCTATCATGCACCCTCAAATATCATGCACCCTAAGAGTCTGCCCCCAGATGCTTGGGTGCCCCTGTGAAGCAAATTTTGGGGTCATGTGGGGAGAGGAGAGGAAGGAGAAGTCCTGTTGTGTAATCAGATTGCTGCTGCATTGGATACAGCCCCTTACTTCTAATTCAGGCACACAAACAGTAGCACTGTGGCTTCTTAAAACCCAAACAGCTTGGAGTCTGCTGTGCACACACACACAGCTGTTTACGTAAAGCAATCCACTACATAAATCTGGGTGCTCATGATGGTTGGAAGAGCGAAACCAGCAAATTTGCACAAGAGTTATTGAGTGCAGCTTGCCATATGTAGCAAACTCTTTGCTGTTTATATTTTGAGCAGCTCCCACGCCACACATTCCACTGCTTTGTGTGAACAGGGCTTTAGAATGGGCTTCTTTAAAAAGTAAGAATCGGGTTCAAGGTCTTCCGCATTTGTGAATTCTTTGTACGACCGTGCCTAAGTTTCTGTCTCTTTGAGAGTGAGTCGCCTATCTTTAAAGCAGGGATCATGCGGCTCAACAGGGTTGTTCACAAAGCAAGCAGAGCAAACACTTACAAAACACTTTGCAGATTACAAGTGCTGTCTATAAATGCTTAGCTGTAGTGGTACAAGAAGAGCATGAATAATATTGATAGGATGTGTACCCGTTTTTCTGGATGTTGTAATTTGGAATAAATTTGTGGGCTGTTTTCTATTTTTCCCCCCTTTTCTAGGACGTGTGGTCATTTGGCATACTTTAAAGAGTCAAATTTTCCTCATTCCTACCAGTTTGTTTTAAATCTGTTCTCCTTCATCCTGCGGGTGAAGCCCTCTCTCATCCATGAAGAAGTCTGTGCGATTGAACATAAACTCTTCTATACAGAACTTCGTAAAACATCCATACTCTCCAAAGTTTGAAAAGGTGGAAAGCTTTAAAAACCAAAGACTTATCTCAAGAGAGCGAAGACCTTCAGTAAGTGCAATAACCTATACGGAAAATTCATACTCATTAAGTGAGATTTACTGACATCATCACATTAAGACAGATGCAGCTGCTCTGCAATTTGTTCGTACTTCAGATGTCACATTCCTAGTCCAGCTACCACAGTTTGTTGGAGCAGAAACAAATTGGGCTGCTTCATACAAAAATACTTTAAATCAGTTTCTCGTTTGCATCCAGACTGGGAAGCTTTTATTGCAAAGCACATTTATTAGATTGAGAATGCGATGTCTGAATTGGACCTTACAGTTTGTTGCAGGGTGAGTGATAATGTGATCCACTAAACTAAACACTGTTTCCCCCCAGTGATATTGTAAAATTTTCAGGTGTTTTTATACATTTTGAACTTCTTGTTCGCTATTGTAACAACAAAAACATATTGACGTATTTTGAAATAAACCTCTTTTTTTTTCAAACGAAGTTGCCATTTAGCATTCCTAATGCTGTGATCCTACAATCTGATGGTACCTTACTGGTTTATCAGTGGTGTTGGCTGCTCCATGAGGCAGAGAGCCATCTGCTTCAGGTGGCAAGTTCTGTGTTGCTTAACATTGTATTCCCTCCACACCCCAGTTTAGAATAGGATTTTTTTTTTTAACCTCAGGTGCTAAAATGTATTGATTGGGCTTGCCCCTTTGTGGAATTCCTTTAGTTCTTTGGAGATTTGTAATGGCATAGGAATGTAGCCTAATAGTAGTGAATAAAACAAATTATTGCGTAAATCTCCAGTCCTGTTACAGTGAGCATTTTACCTTTAATCCAGCCCAATCTTAAGGCCAGCTAAGTGTAGTTACAGCTTTGAAAGCCAAAGTTCTTTGCCTGTCTGCATCAGCAGTGTGTTGTCTCTAATGCTTCAAAGAAGTAAGGTTCAGTGCACCAATCCTGTTGACATTTTGACTTCATTGGGTGGTTAAAACAGAACGCTTTGGGTTGTTTTGTGTTTTTTGTGTCTTTTTCACAATAAAAAATGTGATAGACTTGAATGAATGAATAATACAAGTAAATGAGTTTTTGTGTAGCGATACTACCTCTGCATGGATTAGGAACCTACTACTAATCTAAGCCGCAATTCACCCCTTGGATTGACAGTTGGCAATCAGGTTCCACCTTCCAGAATGTTTTAAGTTGCGCAGAGAGAAGAAAAGCTGTTGGCGCACTGCAGCAGCTAAACTGGACACCTTCATCTGCCCCACCTGCAATAAAACATGTCTCTCCCATATCAGTCTCTACAGCCACAGCAGGCGCTGTAAGTCTCTAATAGTTTGACTTTACCCCGGAAGACGCACTTTTCCAGTGTCTCCAGAGAAAGACGTATGCCAACACTCCTCTAAATGCCTAGCACATTTAGGTGCTGTCAGGGAACTGCCATCGGAAGGACAGGAGGTGCAAAGGCTCACTGAGGTTGAGAGAGACGTAGCAGCTGAAGAGGGAACCAGTAGGGGGAGAGGAGGAACTCCAAGGGAAAGTGAGTCGGAGGGATGGCTCAGAGACGCTTCCAGCGAAAACAGTGGGGAGGTCTCAGGACCTCCTATAGGGACACCCACTCCTCGCCGGAAACTGTCACGCCGAGAGTCCAGAAGACGTGTTTCCGTTAAGGAGCTTTTATGTTGGAAACGATTCCGAAAGCAACCACTTTCGGATTCTGCTAGCGACTGACGCAGCCATGCAGGAGGGGCTCCGTCACAGGCAGAGGTTTGAAAACCTGATCAAACTCTGAGGGACTTGCATTTTACGCACAAGCAGCTCATCATCCCCATCACAGGTGCTGTACCTTTAAAGGTGCTATACCTTTAAAACAGCATTACGCCTAGATGGATCAGTCGGCACTTAGTCACTGTAATCATAGCTTGTGAAGCATGGCAGCACCTGATCTTTACTGAAATGAAGTTGTGCTGAGCCTGGGACACAAATGCTTTGAGTCCACTCACCATTATGCCGAGGTGCAATTGCATTTCTCAAGCAGACAAATGGGGTTGGATAGCCCAAGGGTAGGGTGTGTGTCTCTAAAACAACAGCTTTAACTACCTCGTCTGCTTGTATTTAAGTTGCAGCTCCTCTTCTCTTCGGCAAAAATAAATAAATCAGCATTTTATCTGTAGCCCTTTTTTAAAAAAGAAGGGATGTTTTTTCTTTTATTGTGCTCCTTAGCCTAAGGACTTCTCAGCTCTACAAAAAATACTAGATCTTCTTTTGAAAGGGATGATTTTCTCCTTTATTATTCTCCCAAGCCCAAGGATTTCTAAGCTCTACAGAAAATACTGGATCACCTTTTGTTGCATCTGAGTATCACACAGAGCTAAATAACCAGTGATATGTGATCGCATTAGTAGGAATAGACAAACAGAGAACAATTTTGGTTGCCTTAATATTTAGTTTTGGGGTATTTCTGATTCTATTTTATTCTTGATTTGCACTGCTGTGGTACATATCTAAAGCATCAATGATAATACTAATAACTACTGTTTTTTACCAAATGTAACATGGATGCTCAACAAAGTATTAATCTTAAACATTACACAACCACCTTTCCATTGCAGTTATAATGCTGTGAGTGGCGTGCCACCACTTAAAAGAATCCCATCAAAAAGGGTTAAGCATTCATAAAGGTAAAGGGACCCCTGACCATTAGGTCCAGTTGTTACAGACTCTGGGGTTGCAGCGCTCATCTCGCTTTATTGGCCGAGGGAGCCGACATACAGCTTCCAGGTCATGTGGCCAGCAGGACTAAGCCGCTTCTGGTGAACCAGAGCAGCGCACGGAAACGCCATTAACCTTCCCACCAGAGCGGTACCTATTTATCTACTTGCACTTTGACGTGCTTTCGAACTGCTAGGTTGGCAGGAGCAGGGACTGAGCAACGGGAGCTCGCCCTGTCGCGGGGATTTGAACCGCCGACCTTCTGATTGGCAAGCCCAAGCGGTTCAGTGGTTTAACCCACAGCGCCACCTGCGTAGCATTCATACAGCGCCACAAAAAAGAAATGCTGCCATAAAACCTTGAAAGACAAAAACAAGAGCACGGATAAAAACCTAAAAAGCAGGAAGTCAGTCTACTAAAACAACCCAACAGGGCAACCTGCAGCAATAAATCCACCATTAAAAACAACATGCAGTATCCATCTAACTTGTTGCATCGATGTAAGGATTTCTGCTTGTGCAACAGAACTCTCTCCATCCCCATCTCCTGCAGCTGGCACTCTAAATCTGTTCTGGGAGTTCCCCCAACCCCCTGAAGAAAATTCTGGGAGGGCTTGAGAAGGAGAGGCAGGAGTTCTGTTGCAGAAACAGGAATCCTTGCGCTGATGGCACAAGTTAGCCCAGTGCAAATAATCATTCAAATGATTGGCTAATCAGTTTAAACAGCTGTAAAAAGCCCGTCTGCATAAAAGGGATTTTCAAGAGGCGTCAGAAAGTCAAAAGCGAGGGTGCTTGATGAATCTGCTGGAAGAGGGTTCCACGACATGGGACCGATAAACCTAAAGACCATTCAGACCTTTGTTAACATGGGCAGCAACTAACAACACTCTTCTGGGTGATCTCAGCATACATATCATTGCAGTTTAGTACATGCATTTAGTGCAAAGGACAACGGGTTGTAGATTCTTGCAACTGTAGTTCTGGCTTAAAACCAAAAATAATAGTGAATAGTGCTGACAGGTCATGAGGAGTTAACTCCGCCACCAACAATTTGCCATTGGATCAAGCTGAAGCCCTTCCAGCATCCAGATCTCACAGTGGCCCATGAGATGCGCCCACAAGTACAGCAGAGCTCTCCCTACCCATGATTCCTTGCAACCTGTCACAGCCCACTGCCTCCAACACCAGAGGTAAAGCATAGCCATAGATAGCCTCACCCTAGCCTTGGTGATCATCACTGCCTCTTATGGGAATTCCATAGTTTAACTTTGTGCTTCGTGAATAAGTGCTTTCTTTTGTCCTGAATCTGTCAACATTCTTTGGGTGGCCTTGAGTTCTAATAGTGTAGGAGGAGAACAACTTTCTTCACACCTTATCACCTCTTACTTACCTTTTCTCTAAATTAAAAAGCCCCATATGTTGTAGTCTTCCTTCCCAGGGGAGTTGCTCCATCTTTCAATCACTTTGGTTGCACTTTTCCTGGCTAGGTATGGTACTCTTATTCTAAGTGAAGCCCCACTGGGCCGTGAGTGCAAATCGAGTCTGCCAGGCCACCCAGTTTGCTCCATGTGAGCATCTTTGGCCAGCTGGGCCTCCCTGTCGCTCACCTGATGCCATTAGGTGAGTGAACAGATAATATGACATCAGATGCAGAACAGGAGCTGAGGAATAAACAGGAACTAAAAGTTTTGCCTAAGTTGTTCTTATCCCAGGAGTCTTTGCCCAACCATTAGCTGACTTGCTGTTACTCTAGAGCAGGAATAGGGAACCTGTGGGTGTCTGGGTGTTGTCAGACTCCAACATCCATCAGCCAACAGTTAGGGTTTATGGGAGTTGTAGGGTATGCTCACATTACCACTTGCTCCAACCTCTGCTAGTTTTTGAAGCCTCATTCACACGACGTTAGCCTCAACCTGTATTAATCCTATAGCTTGACAAATTCTGCTGTTATAATGCTTCCATCCTCCCAAGCCAGTTTCAGTCCAACTAAGAAACTTAAGCACGTTCACTTCATGCTTATGAATGGTATGTACATTCAAGACAGCCACTGCACGTGTGCAAATGACAGCATCATGAATAGGAGCTGCAGGGAAAGGGAGGTCATGTAGATCGGGTGACCCCCCTCTATGATGTGTGCAACACCATGCAAATGTGGCTTAAAGCACGGGGGTTGTGGGGAGGGGGGAGAACCACCTTGCTGCGTATTAAGCCACAAACCTGAACATACCCATAGTCCAGCAATATCTGAAAGGCCACACATTCCCCACTCTTGCCTTAGAAATAGAGGTGCGGCAGGCGAAGGGGCCTATGCAAAGAGGAATAAAATAATCAGTGGGCTGAGAAAACAGCAATTTGAAGAAAAGGAGGGGGTGGGATAGGAAAGAATGACTGCGGTATGTTGGTCCAGAGTTGTGAGTGGAAACTTTGAAAAAGGAGAAGGCTAGAGGGAGGAAGCTGAATTAAGAAAAGAAAACAGTAGAAGAATGTACTTCAGCTGTATTGGTAAAAGGTTGTGTTCAGTGTGCCCGAGATCAAAGGATTTGAAACTGTCATCCAGTTTGATTAGTTGGAATAAAGTCATAAATTAACTACCCAATCTTTTAAGAAAAAGAAACCTCGATTGCTGCTTCTCTAAACTTTGCATGAACTATTGCCCATTTCAAATGATTTGAACCAGCCAGCCAAATCTGTCACTGCAGGTCCCACTCCAGACATTTATATGTCTAAAACAGGCATGTAGGTCTTCAGTTCCAGGAGTGTAGAGGTGTGAACTGATTTTCTCAAATGCAGTACAGCCAGAGCAGTTTCGAACTGGCTCCTTAGTTGCTGGTGTCCCAATCACACTCTAGATGCTTCCCTGGAAGCAACTGTGTGAACTCTGTCATTGATGAATTAGTCTGGTCAAAATGCTAGTAATAGGAGCAGCAACTTACTTGGTATATTATTTTTTTTTAAAAAAATTAAACCAATTAAGAAGAATACTTAGGAAATTATAGGGTTTTAATTTTTGAAGCCAAGTCTAAAAATTGCCTTGTTCTTGCTTGCTTCATTCAATCACATTTCCTTTCTCCCCAGAAATAGGTTCTCTCCAACTCCTCCCACAGCCTTTAAGTTACCTGGAAAATACCTCTGCATGGATAAGCTCCTGTTGATTTCGTTTCTGCATTTGAAATGTGAATAGGTATTACATCCCTTTTAATGGAGAGGCATGGAAATAGGCCTGTGAATAGGTATCAAAGTTGGTAATTAGCTGAAATGGGAAGCAGATATGGATATAGATAATAGTATCAAAGGAGAGCTTCAGGGAGATTTCTTTAGCAACCTCCCATATGTAATGACCTGAATCT